CGTGGCCAAGGACGAGGAGTGGGACGGCCACTTCGGCCAGGAGAACGGCACGTACTACGGGTTCCACCCGCCGGGCGGCTGGTACCGCCTGGCTACCAAGGCCTACGAGCGCTTCCTCTACTTTTGCCACATCTACGACGGCGACGAGGTGGCGCACCCGACCTCGGCCATCCAGTTCATGTGGCACCTCCACATGTTCCACCCCATCCTCTATCGGTGCGTGTGTCGTGTCGTGTCGTGTCGTGTCGTGTCGTGTCGTGTCGTGTCGTGTCGTGTCGTGTCGTGTCGTGTCGTGTCGTGTCGTGTCGTGTCGTGAGGCTGAGAAGGATGACGCGGCGCAGGGAGGGCACGAAGAGGCTGACTGGCCGCGTGCTGGAGCACATCCCGTGGCCCCACGAGCACTACAGAGAGGCCAACTTCACCCGGATCAACCATGTGTGGCAGCGCGAGTTCGGCATCGACATTCAGGAGGTGCGTCGTGTGCGTGTGCGTGTGCGTGTGGGTGTGGGTGGGTGTGCGTGTGGGTGTGGGTGGGTGTGCGTGTGGGTGTGGGTGTGCGTGTGCGCGTTTCGTGGGATCGCTCACACGCACACGCAACGCATCAGGAAATGGATGACCTTGAGATCGGGGATGACGACGTCTGATGCCATCGATCGTGTGTCACATATACATTTATATTTATATATAAATTCAACTACTGGTAGGATATTCATCATATCTGGAGAATATATCTGAACTCCGACTTACCACAAGGAAATAACTTTTGCATCTATCCAAGAAAGGATAGATGCAAAAAGAAGAATAAAAACAAAACGCAAGTGAAGGATCAAGAACACGTAGCTGGAGCGTGGAGGACCTGGTCCAGGAAAGCATCTGGTATGGCCGCGTCGTCAAGGAGAACGGCTCGCACTACCGGCGGGCTGGTACGACCTGGCGGCCAAGGCCTACGAGCACTTCCTCTCATCGTATAAGTTTTGGCGGAATATTTAAAATCCATTTTTTCCCCCTGTGTTATTAGAGAAATCAAGAAATTCAAGCATATTTAACAGATTATATTTGAAAAATTCAAAGATAATTATTCAGAAAAGGGATTGCAAAAGAAATCAGATCTCGAAATGGGGAGTAAATGATGAAACAAGCCAAAAACAAATATGTTGGCTGTATAGCCACCAAAATCCAACCAGACACCTATGGCTCATGTTTAGATGAATCTAATGATCCAAAAGCCAAATATGAACAACATAAAATTATATGTTGACAGCATCAGCGGTGGTCAGAAGCAGGGAGCAGTGGCAGCAGCTGCCAAGGCGTACCAGGCAGCAAAGCAGGCAACAGACTCAGCTTCAGTGGGTGGAGTGTGTGCTGGCAGCATTGCATTTGTGTGCAGTGGTAAGGGCAAGGCCAAGTTGCCAATATCAGCATCATTGGGTGACCTCAAGGTCATGGCAGCCATCAGGTGCTCAGGCCACCTCCTCTCCAATCAGCAGAAGCACTTTGTGGCTGCTGTGCACAACTACACCACCATGACAGCACCTCCCCCTCAACACAGATTCAGATCCCCCAGTTCTGGCCCCAGCCAGTTCAATCACCCCTGTGCCATGGCAGTGGATGCAGCAGCAGGCCACATCATCATGGCTGACTCCAGCAACCATCAGGTGGTGGTGCTTCACACCAATGACTGGTCCTTCATGCACTCCTTCAGTTCCAAGGGTTCTGGCCCCAGCCAGTTCAAATGCCCTATGGGCGTGGCAGTGGAGGCACAGGCCACATCCTCATCACCAACACCAACAACCATCAGGTGGTGGTGGTGCGTGCCAATGATGGGTCCTTCATGCACTCCTTCAGTTCCCAGGGTTCTGCCACAAAAATACCACCACACACACACACACTCACCACATGAACATGTGCACACACACTCACTCACAAAAGAAACTGCAGCCCGTTCTTTGATTCTATGAACACCTGTTGCTTGTGCATGGGGGCAGCAGGGACAGCATCAAGGAGAAGGAGGACAACAGAGATCTAAGCTCAAGTGACGAGGAATACTTGGTGTCTGAGCGCTTCCTGGCCCAGATTCTCAACATCATCCTCATCCAGCTCATCAGCAGAGGCCAGCCCAGCATCATCCTCATCAAGCTCATCATTGCAGTGGACTAGCCCACCAACACTGAGCACCAGGAGGTCTGATCAGCCATGCAAGCTATCAGCCAAGTTGGCCAAAGCCATCTCAGACAAGGCAATTGCAGCCCAGATGCAAGAGATCAAGGCCCAGGAGGCAGAGCTCCAGGCCTGGAAGTGGTGGCTTGTGAACCAAGGAGGGTCTAGGGCCCCTGCAAGAAGAATGAGTGGGTCACCACTGAGATGCCAGCAGAGTGGAGCTTGACGAAGGTTGACAGAGGATGTGATAGGGCAGCAATCAAGAAGCTGCTCAGCACATCCATGGTGAGATGGGACAACAGCTGTCTCAAGGTCACTAAGCCACTGCTCTCTTTCATGTCCATCTACCTCTCTCATAGACTAGGATAAGAATTGAAGAGCTTTTAAAGGGGGTGAACATCACCACCATGGACCAGAACCTGGGCAAAATGAACAGAGAACAGGACATCACAGCATACTCCTCCTTTTAAAGCTCCCACAAGTTCCTGGCATTCCTCAGCAGATATCATTCCTCCAACATCAGCATACAGAAACCCCACCTATCTAATTAAAAAGATAGAAATATACTTTTATGGAGAATGAAATCTGAGGCCGCTCCTCATCTCCAAGAAGCTCCTTCATTATGCTGACATCATAATGATCACCCACCTGTCAACAGGTGCTTTGTTTTCCCTTTATTTACACCACATCTTGTACACCTGCTTGTGGAATGATGGCCTTGAGGAGAAACTCAACAAGCACTTTAAGAGCCTTCCCCCATTCCCTGGCATCCAATCATTTGCAAGTCCTGTGCAGATGGTGTGATGCAATGAGTGTGTATGCCTGCCCCTCCCTCCTGCTCTTTCCTCCTAAATGAGGCTGCTAACTGTGTGGTGCTCTAGGGAAGGCTTGCAGTAGCAGGGCTGAAGGGGAGAGATGGAGAGATGGAGAGTTTTGTGCAGATTGTTGAGATCCTGCTGGGCCTGATTGACAGTGAGGAGCTCAATTCATGGCATCTCCATGTCAACATCATCAAGCTCCTTCAACACAACCAGCTGACAGAGGTGGATGTTGACCTCCTTGAAGTGGTGCAGTGGAAGGTGCATATGTGGGAGCTCTACAGCAACATGGTTAAGGTGCCAAAGCAGACTAGGTTTAAAAAGAGGAGGAAGCAATCAAAGAGGACCACCAAGAGCAACAACAATATGACAATCAAGGGGAAGACGCTCAACATGTTCAACATGCCCAACTTTGAAACAAGCACCTTGCATAGCAGATCTGTTTCCTGGGACCAATCTGGTTCCAGGATGACCAGTATGAAGACCAGCATCTGTCAGTGAAGGAGATGTGCAACAACACCAACCAAAAGGCCTCCTTGTCTTGGTACCCTTCTCAGACACATGAGTGTGGTGCCATGCTCTGTGCAACAACACTGCTGAAGCAGCCATCCATGAGGGTGAGGCGCAGTACACTTTCACCCTCAAGGCAAGGCCCCAGTTGCATAGGATAGCCAAGCAAGATGGCAATGTCTCTCAATTGGAGGTGGCAGAAGAGGCGGCTACCAAGGTGGTGGCCACCATGACTCTACCCATTGGTGCTTGTATGAGAACATGGCAGTGATTTCCAGCCAGGTGGACAATTGTAACTAGTCTAGGTGGCTGATACAGTGGGGGTGGTGATCAGTACAGCAGAGGTGGCAGCAACTGCTATCATGCAGAGAGGCGTTCCATCAGCCATCCCCCAGAACCCCACTTCCCAGATTGAAACAGGCAATGCCAGTACTTGAAGCAACTTCTTTGGTCCCATTGGCAAGATAGTGGACTCACCTTCTTCTTCCTCCTCCTCCAGCACTCATGCAAAAGTGGGCCACTGCTGCAGAGAGGGGCAACCTGCAGGTGTGGCCAATGAAATGTCTGTGTGTCATGTTGTGCATGCTGCTGTGGAGGTGCAATCAAGTTTAACAGAAGTCAGTCAAGCAGTGGCCTAGTGAGTGGAGGTGGCAGAGAGGCAGCTGGAGCAGGCAGCAGCAACAACATCACCTGCCCCAACGCTCTGGATTTTGTTGCTCAATACAGGTCAGGGATTACCATTCAACAAAATGGCCAACTTCTCCAGCATGGATACTCTTCAAACTGGAAGGACCTCCACTGACACCACAGCTTGGGCCAGCACATGGATAACCATGTACACCAACATGGTATTACTCCCCTTATCTATCATGTACATGTACACAATAGAATCCTCATTAATCATGCTCACAACACCATAAATCACCATTATTTTTATCACATACACATACACAATACTCATCACCTGTTTTGCTCACCTTCTCCCTTACTCCAGTACAGCTGTCATGCTCCCAACTCAACCTCCATCTACATGCCAATGATCATGACCAAGGATCACCTCTACCAGAAATACTCAGATGCCTTGAATGCCCAGCACTTCACCCACGCAAAGCTGTTGAGTCTCACTCACTTCCACAAGATGTTCAAAGGTGAACACAGGCACATCAAGTTCCCTCAGTTCTGCATCCTCAGGCAGTGCAATATCTGTGCCTCAACCAATAACACCCTCACCAACCAGACAATGAGCACAAGAGAGCAGGCGCAGCTGAAGCAGTGGAAGCTGGATCACCTCAAGCTTGTTGAGGTGGAGCAGAAAGCTTATCACCTCCACCAGCAGGAGGCTGTTGCTGACCCTGGTGTGACCTTGTCAATTATCATGGACAGTTCAACTGATGTCATTCTACCTCTCCTAGTGCCTCTGCCCTTGGCCTGGAAGGACCTACACCTCTGCAAGCTTGGCATTCATGGATTTATCAACCACAGCCTTCACCGCCACTCCCTGTACCTACACCAGGGCCAGTTCAGCTGTGGTCCTGACTTCACAGTGTCTCTGCTGCACCATCACCTCACCCTTCACTTAGCTATTCCTGCAGCAGTACTATGTCCATTGACTCTCTACAGTTTGACAACTGCAGCCAGGAGAACAAGAACAAGTACATGCTGGCCTACTGCCACTGGCTGGTGTTCAACAAGGTGTTTCAATCAATCACCATATCCTTCCTGCCTGCAGGACACACCCACGAGGGTATCAACCAGATGTTCTCAACCTTTGTGATTGGCATGAAGTATAATCCATGGGTCCTGACTGTTGAGGCTTTCAAGCAAGGTCTGCAGGACTGGTATTCTGCACCCCACCTTCGCCCTGAGCCTATATTCCTTCTTGAGTGCTGGTCTATCAAATCCTGGATGGATCCCTATATCTGTGGTGTTCAGGGAACCTCCAGGCCTCATGTCTTCTGCTTCTCCTGCCATGAAGAAGATGTGCAATGTTCATGAAGGACTACCATTCCTCTGCCTCTCTGTGGATGGGTCCCTATTCCTTCCTCAACATCTGTCCCTCTGACTCTCCCCTTCCTCTTCTCCCAGCTCAGCTCAATACCACCATCCTCAAGGATACCCTCTCTGCCCTCACCAAGCTCAACAATGCCCAGGCCATGAAGAAATCCTACCAGGATCTTGTTTCTCTTCAATAGGCCACCTCCAGAGCAGCTCACCAGTGACCCATTCAGCTGGGTTTATCAGTACAAACATGCTCAGTCTGACCTTCTCTCTGACCTGGAGCCATTGGATCAGCCCATCAATGCTTCCATCAGTCTCACTGGAAGTGCTACACTTGAGTGGACATCAGTGAAGCCAGATGATGGAGCCATTGTGGCAATTGCTGGTGAGAAAGGAGCTGTGTGGCTTGGTGTGGTCAGTCAAACCACCTGTACACACATATTCCTTGATTGGCTGGATGAAGCAACAGATGGGTCCTACCACTTGACTGCTGACCCACCCACCTCTGTCTCCTACAATTCCCTCTTGTGTGCAGATGTTTCACTGGATCTCAACAACCAGATGAGACCTGCACTCTGGTCATGGCTTCTTAGCATGCAGTAAGAATGGCCTGATCTGGAAGGAACCCACACCAAAGAACTGCCTGATCCTGAGCTGCTCAGGAGGGGAAAAAGAAGGAAGTGATTTGTTGGTGTTGTGTATTGCATGCAGCACCTGAGGTTTGTCACAGCGCCCCACATATGGCACATTGGGCTGACTGGGCAAACCTCTTGATGTACCTTTTGAACCTCCATGACAAGTGCTCACTCTGACCCATTGCAAAATTTCCATGCTGTGACAACAAAAACACTTTATTGTGTATGTGTACATGATGACTACACATTTGACCTACTGTTTCTTTGTTTATCATGGATGTGTTGGCGCAAAGTAAAATCTGACTCTACCTTGTTTTGTGTTGGTGCTCCAATCACATGTGCAGATCCAAATCTTCAAAACTGCCCTATAAATCAAAAATTGTCAAATCTCACATGATTTTAGCACAACAAAAATTGCATGGTCATTTGTGGCCTCTCATTTCAAATGACCACAAGTTACAAGACCTTTGGTGCCACTGAGCACATGCATCATGGGTTAGATTCCCATCCTACTCCTTTTTTTTTTCTGTGCCAAGCTTATTGTTTATAAACAAGAAAAGAAAGACACTCTCTAATGAGTGGCTGGCTGCTTCTCACCCTGGGGCTTTCTGGCTCAGGTCTCAGGTCTTCTGGAGGTCTCCCAGGCCCCATCTAAATTAGTTAGCGCCAACAAGTTATTACCCCAACTTCCTCGAACTCCTAAGCGCGCCCAATCGCGTGTGGGGGTAAGAGCACACAGCCTTGCTACCGAAGACTGAATAAGCATCTTTTGGCCCCGCACACTCCGTACCTTGCGCAACACACTCCTCCTCCTGCCATCTCTCCCCCTGAGCCGTAAGCTTCGTCATGGCGCTCTTCTCAGTGTGCCGCTCGGTCGTCGCCTTCGTTCTTCTTCTTTCTTTCGCCTTCGCCGGAGTCGTTGATGCACAAGCCCCGACGCCGCTCGCCTCGCCCACCCCTTCGCCTGCTGGGGCGCCGCCCCCACCCCCGCCCCCTCCGACTCCTTCGCCCAGCTGGCCCTGGGCAACTTCCACGTGTGCGGCCTCACCGCCGCCAACTCGGCCCAGTGCTGGGGCCAAAACAGCGAAGGCCAGCAGAACGCGAGCACGTCAGGCCTCGAGTTCGCCTGGCTCT